TTCCGCATGTTGCTTGTCTTTTTATCCTCGGCGCCTATCGCTTCCAATATGATACTTGTTAAAACATTGGTTTCACCATGATCAATACGCTAGAAATTACTAATGACTTAGAAAATATTGCCGTTTCGAAATCTTATGTCTGTACACCAGAAAATAGTTTAGGGCTTCTTCCTGATATTAATGAATCGCTTACAGTTTTGCATCTGAATATAAGAAGCATTGGCTGTAATTTCAGTCAGCTTCAGATACTTTTAAAAAGGATAAATATTGTGTTTGATGTTCTGGTGCTGAGTGAATGCTGGCTAAGCAAATGCCCGTATTTACCAAACTTGCCGGGATATTCATCATTCAAATCAAACTTCGCTAACCAAAATGATGGCATAGTGGCTTATGTTAAAACAGACTTGGCTTGTACAGTTGTTAAGAGAACCTTTAATGATGCCAATTGCCTTGTGCTTAAGTTTGCTAATGAAATTGCTTTAGTAGCTGTTTATCGTTCACCCTCAACAAGGAATATTGGTGGTTTTCTTGAGTCTCTTGAGGATACGCTGACTTCTCTAAATACGTTTAAGACTGTCGCCCTAGTTGGAGACATTAATATTAATATAGTACCCGGGAGTAGTGATCCTAATGCGGATCCCTACCTCACCTTGGCGGCAGCAAATGCGATGTTGCCTGCACACGTGTTTCCCACAAGAAAAAGTAGTTGCTTGGATCACGTGCTACTTAAAACAAATACAACATCTGTTACATTAATCATAGATTCACTTATTACTGACCATTTTCCAGTTGTACTTTGCTGCAGTCGAAAAAAGAAACTAACCAAAGTAGCGCGTAACAAAATTATATTTGACGAAACTTCTTGTGTTAAAGAAATTGAAAAAAAGGATTTTTCATTTATTGTGTCTATTACTGATGCCGAAAAAGCTGCATATTTGTTTGTCAGTACATTAATAGACATTATTAAGACTCATTCTAGGACTGTTCATATAAGTAGCAAAATGCGAACTATCAAGCCTTGGATGACACCTGGTCTGTTACGCTGTGTTAGAAATCGTGATCGACTATATAAATTAAGTAAAAAAGATCCTAATAATCATTTGGCAAAACTGACATACACGCGTTATAGAAATTTTTGTATAAATTTACTTAAAAATATTAAACGAGCTTATGAACGGTCAGAGTTCCATAAAGCGAAAAATAATCCCAAGGCTACTTGGAAGCTTATTAAAAATATAACCAACCTCGATCAAAATTCTTCCGAAGCAGATAGCCTCTTGTCGTTAAGCGAAAATCCGAAAGCGGCAGTTAATTTGGTCAATGAGTATTTTAGTAATATCGGGAAAACCCTCGCCGCGCAGTTTACCGGACAGTCTAATCATTTTGCGACACCTCAAAATTGTAACCATGTAAATTCTATGGTGTTAATTGAAACTGACAATGAGGAAGTCGAACGAATTACTATGGGACTACGAAATTGTGCCGTGGGGTGGGATGGCATACCAGCGTCACTGCTTAAGGCCGCGCGTTCCGTTCTTGTGCCAATAATGACACACATTTATAATCTCTGTTTGTCGTCGGGGACATTCCCTCGGGTATTCAAGAAGGCCCTTGTACATCCTATTTATAAAAGCGGTGACAGAGACAGTGTCAACAATTACAGGCCTATTTCCGTCTTAACAACACTTTCTAAAATCTTTGAAAAAATTCTAAATTCTCGCTTGATAAAATACCTTGATGCATATTCGATACTTTCTGATAATCAATTTGGCTTTCGAAGTGGGAAATCTACAGAGGATGCTGTACTGGCTCTCACAAATTCTATTATTGACAATTTTAACTGTAAACATAAAACCATTGGTATTTTCCTTGACTTATCCAAAGCTTTTGACACTGTTTCTGTCCCAATTCTCGTGGGGAAACTAGAGTGTATTGGCGTGAGAGGACTCGTACTTGATATATTTAAAAGTTACCTCAGTAATCGCACACAGCAAGTTCGCATAGGCAATCATATCAGTGATGAAGTGACTCTATCGTTCGGCGTGCCTCAGGGTAGTGTCCTCGGACCAACATTATTCCTAATATATGTTAATGATTTATGCAATCTAGCTCTCAATAATGTTAAAGTTTACGCTTATGCTGATGACACTGCCCTTCTCATAGAGGCACCAACATGGGAGGAAGCTCGACTCCTCGCTGAGACTACGTTAAGGATAGTGATGCAATGGTTCGCTAAGAACTTATTGACAGTTAATGTTAGCAAAACGACTTTCATAGCTTTTGCTCCCAAAGCCTTGTCTCTGCCCCCGTCTACTTTGTCTATCCACGCCCACAATTGTAACCCAAATGACGATTTTTGCCGCTGTACTGAGCTAACGCAGTCTTCCTGTGTTAAATATCTTGGCGTTCTTATTGACTCTCTAATGACTTGGAATGACCAGGTTGAGGCGGCTATCGGTCGAATTAGAAAATTAATGTATATTTTCAAGAAGATTCCTCCGTTTGGCTTCTGAATTGTATATAATAGCTAAAGTCTATCATTATGTCTATCTCTCACATCCATCCTCTGTCTTACTGGCAATGTAATAAAGTAACTAAAATCTTTAAATCTTTAAATTTCAATAAGATTTTTCAAAAAATATTTAATGTACAGATTCGGCTTAGTTATAATTTTATTATATGTATAGATGAGAATATTGTCAGTAAGCAATGCTAGCAAGCAAAGTAAGAAAATAGAGCAGTTCACAGGCTAATCTATTTAGGTACATGAAGTTCTCCCGTAGTATATTTGTATAGTTATTGATATACCAAGTTATGGGAGAGCGACTATAATGTAGAGCGGCCTGAGCAAAAAGAGGGCGTTTAGCATCTTAATAACTTCATATTGATATATTCTTTTAAATTAATTCACTTTAGTTCAGTAGGTTAAATGTTAAAAATAATCAATAATTATTAGAAAATCGAAAGTTTATTACGTAACGATAAGACCGGATCTAGTTCGAGTGATAATTTGATAAGGTATTATGTGTTACAATAATTATGTCACTAGTAGCCGCCACTGGCGCTGCATATGTGCATGTCGTAAGCCGAGGTAGGCCGACATTTTGATTGACCACGAGTGAAATTGTGTCATTTGGTTGTATTTGGTTCATTTATTACAAAACTAGCATTACCCGCGGCTCCGCCCTCGTTCAGGTGACCAAAAACCAAATTCTTAGGTTTTACATATTAGTATACTCTTACATTGCAGTATTTGTATTTTTTCTCAGAAATGAGACATTTTCCCGCGGTAAAAAGTATCCTGTATGTTGACCCGGATAACTAGATATCAAAATAACAAATTTCATCAAAATCCCTCCAGTAGTTTTTCCGTGATGCGGTAACAGTCAGACAGACAGACAGACAAATATTCTAAAAACTACAGATTCGGCCTGTGTATCGATAATAATGTCTATTTCAATAAGATTTTCCAAAAAATATTTAATGTACAGATTCGGCTTAGTTACAAATTTATTATATGTATAAATTAGTTATTTACGTAGCTTTAAAGAGAAAGTGTGATGTTAACCTTTTAACCTTCTGCAAAAAGAAATTTTCAAATGGGAGTACTAGTTCCAGATGTTGGTCAGTTTAAGGCTTAAGCAAACAAAAAACCCAACTCTTCAGCATTGAATTATATTAGTTCAGATTTATATCAAATCACATAAAACGTTATGGAAATTCTTTACAAATCAGATCAGAGCATTAATTTAGACATGCAGGGTCTCTTCAGGGTTTTAAGTGACATGAGGGTTTCGATAGTAATATTTCATATACAAAAATCTGTATATAAGTTAATTTTTTTGTCGCCTTTTACAGGGTAAAATACCATTTTAATCCCGGAAAATGTAGTTTACATTATGTATGATAATTTTATGTATATTAAATTATTTAATCAAAATATATATAGTAAATTTAATATATTTATTTATTATATTAATACATATATTAAATTTATGTCGCTTCTTATGAAATAATAGCTACTTATAAAAAAGTCCATCAAAACAAAGAGCAATTTCAGCTTTTATTTTATTATTATGACCAATTAATTTTTAAACGTAATTTTATTATATAACAATCATTTGCATTCATTGTGCAAAACCCGTCTACCTTTTTTGTCTTTTTTAAGAAAGGAAAGGAAAAGTGTAGTTGTGTCTAGAATCTAGATTTGCTAGGAATTTATCTATACCTATTATTAGAGTAGTTAGATTTGTTTTTTTAATATTTATTTCGGCACTTTCTATGCAAAATCTCTTTTAGTGGGAAGGGCATAGGCTACCTTTCATTCCAGTCGCGTTTACCATACAAGCGGAAAGCCGGCAATAAATAGATGTTATTTATACTATACTTTTGGAGCAATACTGTGATTACATCATATTATGTACTTACTAAGTTTTAAAATTCGTGTCATAAAGATAAATAAAAATTAAATACTCATTACTTATTATAAGATTTATTTTAATATTAGGATCCATTATGAAAATATATAACGTAGTTAACAAACCTTTTTATAAATGCTAAGTATATTAAAAAATAATAAGGACTAAATCCTGTTGATCCTTAGTTTACATTTCCATTTTATGAAAAAAAAATGAATATACACGTCAAGCACATAACCTTGCTATTGGGCTTTGTCGCAGTCGGACAAAAATAGTATAAATGATTATTTTTTAAAAATTTCTATTCAGATAATTACTAAATTATAAATAAATAATGAGTCACTTTACGTTTACCAACATTTAGGATAAAGGTTAGATTGTTGTTACCAAAACGAAATCGCTGCATATTATAAAGTCCTACTTACTCGTAGTTTCATTAAAATACTATATACATATATACTATATATTGGCATAACCAAAACCCACTAAATATTAACGATAATCACTAATTACGAATACAACAAGAAAATCTAAGGACATGATCAAATAAAGTATAAAGCAAAAGTCTGAGATATTCCGCTACGAAGCATATTTATTTCCTACATGGTGGCGCACCCCCCATTTATAGTTCGCATTCTTATCTGTTTTGACGAATGTATGCACTGGTCCAGTTACTCCGCTAGTTGGTTTACTATCGTGGTCTTCATACTCATAATGTTCTCGCTTTGGTCTTTCCCACTTTGGTTCTGTTGGTTCTTCAATTTGATAGGGCGCGGGTCGAACTGTAATAATATAATACATGCTATAAAATAACAATTTATGGCTAAACTAGTCATCGTGCCAGCATTCTTCACTAAGAAAACCTAGGAGCACAGGAAGACGATGAGAGCAATCAGGAAGCTGGCTTCCTATACCAAAAATCCAGCATCCCACACAAAGAAGACCTGAGAGCGCTTCAACAACTTGCAGCACAACTGCTCTGAAAAATCCGAAAAATAAGGCTCTAGCGCTATCTAGCTTGAATTATCCCAAATTTGACGAGATCATAACCCTTCAACATTTTTAAAAACAAAAAGAAACCACGACATAGTAGAACCAAAACTCAAAAAAGGCATGGACAAAACCTCTTTAGTATTCGCATACTAATTAAGTTAACAAGGTAGGGGTTATTTATGGTATTTGCCACAATATAGTACTGATTCTAAAATTGAATATGCTCTAATGTAGAGCTTATTACTTAAGTATTCATGTTTTATTTTCAAATCATAATTTTTCAAGTTGTGCTTAATTTTAAAGACTCATTTTGAACAGCGATTTGAGCATTAAATTGACGACTTATAAAGAGGTTTAAAAAATATAACGACCCTCACTGCACAAAATCGTTAAACAAGTTTCCCAGATATCGGTGTACATGTAATTATATGCACGCTACACAGGTACAATTCACATAAAAGTCAAACACATTACCCTTCTTTTGGCTTTAGCGCGTTCGGACAAAAATGTCATGGAAGATAATATTTTATACGTACTCGGCAGTTTGTGTCTTGGAGGTAAAGGTGCAAATCTAGTAACTCGTACAGGCGGTGCTCTATTGACTGGATAAAAAGGCCTTGACCACGCTGAAGTGGCTACTACAACGCTCGCAAGAAATATCTGAAAGTAAAACATATTACAGCATGATTAATTTAATTAATACTATGTTATATATTATATATTATCTCATGTGCAAATCTCATTTTCAACATGATTACCACTTGCGTGTACGGAAGGAAAATATCAAAAGAAAATATAATCTAATAAGTATCCGGATCAGGCTTGCATTTGCCCAACGTGGTGGACTATGACCTGTTGAGGGGATGCTTATGCCCAGCAATGGGATGTTAAAAGATCTGAATAATTATTAATAATCTATATAGATGTATAACTGTCATTATAATTATAATAACAGATTCAGTAGATTCTACTTGCTTATTTAAAAAAAAAGTTAAGTCTAATTATTAATAACCTGTTTTAATGGTAATATTTCGAATTTTTTACACTTTTAAAAACAAAAAGTTACGGTTTTATTATATTTGAATATCTTACGTTATAAAGTCAGTAAATGTATTGAATCATTTATTATCTTATAATTTAATTTCTAGTTAGATGTTAGAGAAAACCGGAACGTAATTACATCCATGTTACTTAACAAGTGGTATACATATCTCTGAATGTCTTCCGACGTACGTGCTTCCTCACAACTGAGCACCAAATAGCTAATAATACGAATTATAATTTATACTGGTTCAAACACTGTCAATAAAATTCTATTAGAGTAACTTCAAACAGTGAGAGCTTTTAGATATAGTAAAGCTACCAAATATATGTATGTGTATGTATTAACTTTTGTTATTATGCTATGTATCTTTTATTCTCACATAGATTTATGGTGTTGGGTAGGTAATTTTTTGAGCTTTCTCGAAAAAAGGACATTAAAAGTACGTTGGTACAAGCTTTCTACGAAATATATGAATATTTCGCAATCACACATTTTACTGAAATCGTTAACTCTACATAATCTACATAATTATTAATAAATATCAAGCACATACATAAGACTATATTATACACTGTTTTTGTAGTTGTTGTCAAAAATCAAATTAATTATACCTACCTATACCGGCAAATTGGAATATTACGAAGACGTAAATAAAATCGTTTACTTTTTTACGTTAAAAACAGTTAAAAGCTTTTTTATTCTACTACTGACCAATTTATAAAATATCTGTTGCTGTACAAAGCGAAACAAACATGCCCATGCCATTTAGACACATAAAATGAAATAAAAAACCTTAATTTAAATAAAATCTCCTATATTGATGGTTTTGTGATAGAACTATTTTTGGGTGTGGATAAAACAATTTACTTAAGTTTCATCGCAATCGGAAAAGTGCTATAGAAATAGAAAAAAAAAGAAAAGAATAGAAAAAAAAGACAATTTTTTTTTAAATAATATTTTATCTTCTTTGATGACTGTTGACTCAATTTATTTATCAATCTGAATTTATTTTTTTAATTTAAAATTAACATATACAAAAATCTACAAAAGTTAAAAGACAATTAATTATGTTTGTAGTTTATTTGAATCACATATTATACAAGTATATTTTAAGGTTTAATTTCTCCGAATAAGATCGTTGGATTTTCTAAATTTAGATACGTCTACAGTCTCTCGTGACTCGATTATTATTCACGGTGCAGCATACAAAAGTTCACTTTCATTATGCCTCTGTCACATTTATATCACGACGCAGTGTGCAGTGCAATATAATTATTTCATTGCGTTTCCTTACAAAGAGATTTTTTTATCAAAACTGGGGCGAAGTGCTTAAGACTTATGCAGTTCTTTAATTCTTCATACCAAATTTATTGTATTGGCATATTCAAGGTAAATTGTCAGTTAACATATTGAAAGTTAATATTTTATTGTTTTGTTAAAAAATTAAAGCAAAAATATTGCTTGGTATCAACTTTTGTGTTTTCATATTATTTATTTTCAAAGGATTTTTTCAATAGTAAAATTTTGTATTTCTAATATATATATATATACTTAAATTTGTTACAAAATATATGATACATTTTTTGCATTATCCTTTACAATACGTCAGGTATTGAAAAAGATAATGCTTTAATTACATGTTTTGTTACGATTATAAGATACGACCAAGCTATCATTAATTTTTTCTCGCATAGTTCCTACTATGCGCTTGAATCACACGGAAATTGTATTATATGCAACTTCTAGTCACATAATAATTACGTTTGAATTGATCTTACATTTGGCTTAGAACTTTTGGTTCCAGTAAGCGGAAAAAGAAGTAAGAGATTTTATGTTAAGATATTTTTTTCATCTGTATATAAAATTCGAATGAATAATAATAGTGCTACACATGCACGTTCCCACAAGAATACCACGTCAGAGGCCTACGATGTTCATGAGTTAAATACAAAACACATGATCGTTGAACATACACTAAATGTGACAATTTCACAAAATGTTATTGCCCATAATTAATTATAACTTGTTCCAAGAATCGAAGCTACGACCGGTGTGCCAATGCCCAAATATTATTAAGACAAGATGTCATATTCGTTGGTGTTTTGACATAACGATTTTTGGCATTTCGATATAATTCTAAAAACTATTTATCAATCATTGAGGAATGACATCGTGTCTAAAGTCCTTACCTACGACATCATCTCACTTTTACAAAGCATAGTATAACGTGTACGTCACTCAAAGTTGTATTAGTATGATCGTAATGATAGCGTTCCCCTATAATTTTCCACTAACCACATTTTATGGTAAACAATCTACATAACTTCCAAAAGTACAATCGGCGAACTACGTGACAATTTTGTTCTATAGGTATACAATAACCATTAACTGTCTCTGTAGTTTAATGGCTAGTATATACAGCTGCTGATCTAGAGGTTCTAGGTTCGAGTCCTGGGTTGAGTCAAATTAATACTGAGTCTTTCTGCAAACTAAATCTCAGTCATGCTCAGAGAGCACGTAAAGCTCTGTTGGTATTATTAACTTCAATTTAATATTCAAAAATGAATCTTAATTAAATAAGTAGTTGTTATGACTAAAATTGGCTAAGCGTATTTAAACTGCGTAACTTTGCTATTTCTGTTCTGTTAACGTCTGTCTCTCAAAGTGAAAATATTCGGTTGTGTGATACCTTCCTAGTGTTAATTATAAAGTTCAAATATATAAAGTCTATTTAAAAGTGAAGTGTTTCGTTTCATTTAAGTCCATAACCCAATAGGTTATGGGCCCAGAGGCTTCAATGTGTTAAAAGACTATTTAAAAGTGATATAACGTGATATTGAAATACCTTCAAAAAAAAATAAAAAAAATATATGCATTTGTAAACGATGGAAAATTTAAAGATAAAAAGGAACATTGCACCGTTTAACGGAGAAAAATATAGTGTGTGGAAATTCAGAATACGTGCACTACTTAACGAAATGGACGTTTTAAAAGTGATTGATCAAGAACCGCCAATTATATTGTGCAAGGATTGGGAGAATAGTAATCGAATAGCGAAGAGTATAATATATATATATAAGTGTTATAACTGCTATAGAAACTTTATCTGAAGACAATTTAACCTTATCTTTTGTCAAGACTAGACTGTTGGATCATGAAGTAAAATTAAAGAATGAAAGTTGTGATACCAGTAAAAAGATTTTACAAATAGAAAACAAAAACGACAGTTATAAAAGAAGAAAATTTGGTAATCAAAAACCGTTAAATAATTATTATCAACAAAACAATAAATTCAATAAAAGGACGAAATCATATATTGAAAAATGTCACCATTGTGGACGAAAAGGACATATGAAGAAAGATTGTTATTATTTTAAAAGGCTGAATCAACAGAAAAAGACAAGAACAGTGCAGGCAGTTGAATTGACTCCAGAATCGACATCACAACTAAATAATTCTTCTGGATTTGCATTTATGATGAAACAACAATTTTTAGGACAAAATGTGCAAGAAAATGAGTTAATATTTTTACTAGACTCGGGAGCATCAGATCACATCATTAACAGGGATGATCTTTTCATTAAATATACTAATTTACAAACACCTGTAAAATTATCTGTTGCTAAACACAATCAATTTATTTCAGCTACTAAGCGAGGAAGTATCAACGTTATAAGCGACATGGATGTTCAAGGGGTTTTGGAGGATGTACTCTTCTGCCCAGAAGTCCCGTACAATTTATTATCCGTTTCGAAGATACAACGAGCTGGAATGACTGTGATCTTTGATCAAGGAGGTGCCCAAATACTCAAGGATGGTAAAACCATAATACGAGGTAAGCGTATGAACAACTTAATTGCTATAGAATTTAGAATACCTTACATTTGTCAATCTGTTTCACAATTGCGTAACAGTAAAAATACTTATGAATTATGGCATCAACGTCTAGGCCATATTAGTAAAAATATTTTTTTAAAATTAAAGAATAATAATATTGTTGATGACATATATCTAATAGAATCTATAATTCGTAGTGATAGCTTGTGTGAGGCTTGTATTAACGGAAAACAAACACGGTTGTCATTTAATAAGGCTAAGGATAAAAATTATGTTGATCGACCATTATTCATAGTTCATACGAATGTCTGTGGGCCTATCACTCCTACTACTCTTAACAACAAAAATTATTTCGTATTATTTGTTGATCAATTTACTCATTATTGCGTTACGTACCTCATAACATATAAATCAGATGTATTTTCAGTTTTTAAAGATTTTGTTGCGAAAAGTGAAGCGAAGTTTAATTGTAAATTAGTTAATCTTTATAGTGATAACGGTAGGGAGTATTTATCTACTGAAATGAAAAATTTTTGTATTGAAAAAGGGATTACTTACCATTTAACTGTACCAGGAACCCCACAGCAGAATGGTGTTTCAGAAAGAATGGTTAGAACTATCACTGAAAAGGCTCGTACTATATTAAATGGTGCTAAATTAGATAAAGTTTTTTGGGTGATGCAGTTTTAACTGCCGTTTATTTAATTAATATAACACCGACTAAAGCTTTAAAAGTCTCTCAAACACCATTCGAGCTATGGCATAATAGGAAACCTAGTATAAAATATTTAAAAGTTTTTGGTTCTACTGTATATGTCCATAATAAAACCAGTACGTCAAAATTTGATGAAAAGTCTTGGAAAGGAATACTGGTGGGCTATGAACCAAATGGGTATAGAGTGTGGAATGTAGAATGCGAAAAATATGTTATAGTAAGGGATGTTATTGTTGATGAGACAACTTTCATGCATACCAGACCCGTCTTAAAGCCTGAAAGGAATAATATTGAATATTCCTATAATAAAACTGATGCATCTAAATCAGTGTCATTTAAGTCTCAGGAGCCTAGTAGCTCTAAATCAGATAATGATAAATCTGATGTTATAAGTAACAGTCCCACAAAATTTCGCAAAATTAGTGATGATAATTTAACTTCACAATTAGATAGCAATCTTAACCAAAATACTGATAGTATAGTTGAGCTTAGGAGGAGTGATAGATTAAAAAACAAACGCCCAATTTGTTATGATGAAACTGATAATGATTATTTAATGTATGCTCAATTCTTATGTAATATACCAAATTCCTATAATAAAATAAAATCTCATCCTGATAGAACATTATGGGAAAATGCAATTCAAGATGAAATAAAACTTGGACGTTAGTTCCAAAACCAAAAGATAAAAATATTATAGATTGTAAATGGGTTTTTAATATAAAAAATGATGAATTTGGAAAACCCATAAGGTATAAAGCCCGTTTAGTTGCCAGAGGATTCAATCAACAATATCTATGTGATTATAATGAAACCTTTGCACCGGTTGCAAGAATAGCTAGCTTTAGATTTATTGTTGCCTTTGCTAATCAATTTAATTTGTTAATTCACCACTTAGACGTAAAAACAGCATTTTTAAATGGTAACTTAAATGAGGAAGTTTATATGAAAGTACCTGAAGGTATAGTAAGTAACAATAACTATGTGTGTAAATTAAACAAAGCATTGTACGGATTGAAACAAGCAGCTAGATGTTGGTTTCAAGTTTTTGAACAGGTGCTAAAAGAAAAAAAATTTCAAAATTCGTCAGTTGATAGGTGTATATATATTTTAAATAATGGTAATGTGAGTAAAAATGTTTATTTAGTATTATATGTTGACGATGTAGTAATAGCTTGTGGTGATATTAACATACTGAATGAAATAAAAAGTT